GTACGGGCCCCTAATATGGGCCCTTAGGCCTTTTGGGAGGATTCTAGGGACACCCTTATAAGGGTACATATAGGGTATATAGTAGAAGTGTATAAGGATCCCAGGGTTAAGGGCCCATACTAGGAGCCCATGGTTTCAACCTTAGAACCTACACCCTAAGCCCTGAACCCTAAAACCCTAAAACCTAAAACCCTAAATCCCCTAAAACCCTAGAGCCCCTAAACCCTAAACCCTAAAACCCCTAAACCCTAAAACCCTAAACCCTAAAGCCCCTAAACCCTAAAACCCTAAACCCTAAACCCTGGATAAACCCTACATCCCTGCACCCTGAGCCCTTTTTTGAGGTCCAGGGACAGGGATCCGACCCGGGGTCTGCTAGCCCTGGGCTTCGGGCCTTACGGCTTAGGGCATTTAGGGTTTAGGGTTTAGGGTTTAGGGTTTAGGGTTTAGGGTTTAGGGTTGAGGTTTTTTTTTTAGGGTTTAGGGTTTAGGGTTTAGGGTTAGGGTTTAGGGTCTAAAGTTTAGGGTTTAGGGTTTAGGGCATTTAGGGTTAGGGTTTAGGGTTTAGGGTTTAGGGTTTAGGGTTTAGGGTTTAGGGATTTAGGACTTTAGGGGTAGAGGGCTTAAGGCATAAAGTTTAGGATTGTAGGGGTAGAGGGTTTCAGGCATTGGGTTTAGGACTTTAGGGTTAGAGGGTTGCGGGCATAGGGTAGAGGGCTTAAGGTATGGGGTTTAGGACTAGGGGTAGAGGGCTGAAGGCACAGCATTAAGGATTTTAGGGGTAGAGGGCTTAAGGCATAGGGCTTAGGGTTTGAGGCATAGGGTTTAGGATTTGAGGGTGGTCGGCTTAAGGCATAGGGTTGAGGGTTTTAGGGTATAGGTTTAGGGTTTTAGGGCTTCGGCGCTTTAGGGGTCAGGGTTTTTACCAGGACCCCCCCAGTGCCCTTTAATAGAGCCCTTTATGGTCCTATAATAGTCTGTATTTAAGGTTTTTTCGGGGGTAGTTAGGGTTTACGGGCTAGGGTTTGCCTTGAGCTTTGGCCCAAAGACATGACCCTTATGCAAGAAGGCTCCACAAGACCCATTAAAATCATCCCAACGGGTCCATGTACCCAAATAGTGTATGCCTTGGCACTAGAGTACCGTCTCTAGGGACTACTTGAAGGCCAAAGCTTATACCATTGGGCACACGGATGTGGGACCCCATTGCATAATAACCATAATAGCAATGGAATGGTGAAGCAGAAGATCCTTCAAGACCTGTGAGTCCTATCGTCGCTGAAATACATGGGCCTTGATGATTGGAATAGGGTTTTTTGGGCTGTAGTTTATTTTAAATTGAATAAACAAGCCCTCAGGAATAATGATACAACTTATTCCCACCCTAATAACTATATATAGACGATATGAGCCCTATACCCCTCAAAACCTAAACCCCTAAACCCAACAGCCTACACACCCTTGTAAACACCACTATCCCTTTAGATCTTACTACCCCCATCAGCCGTAGACCCGAAACCTCGGGCTGTAGCCCCTCCCCAAGGGGCGCCTTCAGCTGACTGAACTCGTGGGCTTTGCCGAAGAGGGCCAGAATCCTCATAAGGCTTTAGGGTCTTAGGGTTTAAAGTTTAGGGTATAGAGTTTAGGGTCTAGGAAAAGTCATGTAGAGTGGGTTTGATGCTGAGTGTAGTCTATGCTGCGGTTTTTGGGACTGTACATGCAGCCTGAGTGTAGATGCGCAGGCTTCCGCTTGGGGGAACCATCAACAACAGCCCAGGAAGGTCCGTATATACTACTACTGTGGAATTAAATCCCCAAAATTAAGATACCTAACTCCATCATGGTAGTATATATGGACCCTCTGGGAACCCTACTCTGTCTGTTTGTTTCATCATTGGCGGATAGGTGCCTGACACATTGACCTCCTGGTGCTCCAAGCGCCGCACAGGACAGGATCGCAACAGTCTTCCATATAGTCTAAACGACATGCACTTTGTGTACTGTGGGATTGATAGGCTTTATGTGTGTTGAGGGTACAGTGACCATGACAGCACTGATGAAAAGCTAAAAATATCATACATGTGCGACGGTCCTTCTAGCGCTTGGGGACTGCCGCGATTGCAGCATCTGATCATTTTGGCTTCCTGAAGTAAGGAGAAGCTATCTTTGAGAAGCCTCTCGAGGAAACCATCACACCGCCCCCAACAAAAAAAACTGGGCAACAAAAGGCACCCAAGAGTGGTACGTGGTATGGTTTGGGTTCACTACTCGGGGACATTCCAACTTATGTGCTCAAGAAAGTTTGTTCATGAAGGATTCTGAAGTCTGGTAGACAAGGGTTTTGATAGAAAGTTAAACTCGTCGCTCCTGTCATCGTCCATGTTCTGGATGAGGCCCTTGCTGAAAGATTCCGCGGTCTCCCAGTCGACCTCGTCAATAAAACCCTGCAACCTACAAACCTTAAGCCCTAAACCATCCTACAGCCTGGGAAACCCTAAGCCTTACACTATAAACCCTTTAAGACCCTGACCCCAAACCCTAAGCCTTCAAGTCTACAAGCCCCATGTAAACCTTGTCAGCTATTGACCGTATATGCCGCCATAAACATAAGAAGGTCTGCCGAAGAAGAATCCTCATTCTTAGCTGAAAAATGCTTCTGTTTATGGGATCGAAATGTTGGGCTTATTCGTCTTGGGTTGCGGATTGAGGATTCGACTGCTTGATTCGATCAACAGACTATAAGTATATTCAGGAATCTTATTACCCACCAAGTAGCTACTCACACCAGCTCGAGCCTCAAACCCTAACGCCAGAGCCCTCACCGCTAAAACCCTTGAGCCCTACGACCCAGATGCCGTAAATCCCCAAACTCACTCTCCCAAAGGGTCGTAAGTACCCATACAGTAGAATGTAGCGTTTCCATATTAAGAATTAGTATTATGATTTGGGAAAGTATCTCCCATAACAGTACCGAGGACGCTTTGGGTCTATCGGCCAAAATCGCAAATATCGCGTTGATGCGGTTGCTTGCAGCAGGCCACATGGTCTAGAAGTGGTACTTGTCGTGCCATGGACTCGTGCCCTCGAAAACGTGCTCCCACTCGCGGATCTCGGCGTTGGCCTGTCGCCAGCGATATGTGAGATGCCCGAGCACCTCATCGAGTTCGGGTTGGCATGCCCCGTGCCCAGATATGAAGCTCCCCCATGCCGACAGAAACAAGAGGCAATTCCATGACCATGCTAACGCTAAGCAGCCCAAACTCAAAACCACTCGGGCCCAAAATTGTGCTGTCCGAATGCTTAAACGCCAAAGCACCAAAATCTTGAGCCATGGAGTTGTAGCCAAAGCAAAATCGTACCCCCCTTATAGAATGTAAGTAACACAAACAAGTAAAGAACCGTCAAGAAAGCTCCACATCAATAACGCATAAAAACTCCGAAACAGAGACAGCCTGAAGTCGGAAAAAGACCTGCAATCCTTAGTTCCTAAACCTCCAGCTTAACTTAGGGGGGGACCCTAGCCCAAAAGGGTTAACCTTACGGTTGAAGGTTACCTGCTCAGCTACGGAGTGAAGGTTAAAGTCCTGAAGTCAACCGTGAAACCGACCCCTTACTCCCAACCGAAGACTCCTAACCATCCCAAGAAACCCAATGGGTTTAGGGTTTAGGGCTTCGGTCTGCATAATATGCCCGTCTCACAGCAAACCACAGCCGAGATGGATTAGTGTCGGGTTGTGGGTCTTCGCGGCCCGGCCGCTCGACGAGAAGCAAGGGTTCCCAACGAACAACTCGCCCCTCGCACCGTGTCAGGGCTGCTCGAAGTTTCCAGTGACGGTGCGCTTGGCCACAGCACAGACCGGAGACTTTCGTTGTTTGGTGCGGAGAAATTGGCCAGGTCGCCCCCGACCCAGGAGGCCCCGTCGGTCCCAATTATGGTCATGGGTAGCGGCAGAGCCTCGGGTCGTCATTTGCTTAAAAAAAAACACTCAAAAGCTGCGGGAAGCCTTGGGGGCGCGTCTGTCCCCCCTCTGGCCGTCCTTTCCTTTTAAAAAAAATTCAATTAAAAGCTGCGAAAAACCTCGGCAACCTTCTTTTGTCCGGAAATGACGCCTGGAATCTGCCAGCTTGGAACCCCCAGACCCCCCTGGTCAGAGCCTTTTTAGGGCTTAGGGTTTGTAGGGCCTGGGGAATTGAACCTTAAAGCCTCAAACCCCTAAACCCTAAACCCTAAACCCTAAACCCTAAACCCCTAAAGCCCTAAACCCGGAAATGAGAGCCACGGTATCGGGAACTCCCATGGGCTGAGACCCCGGGCATAGAAGCGGGCAGCCACGCGACCCAAGTCAGTAGGATTGTAATTTCCTCGGAGAGGATTCAAACACCCAAAGGGTCCTAAGTACCCGTATGGGGGATACTTAACCAAACCATACTGGTAATTCCTGCTATAGAAACCGCACTTTCTACTATGTAGGTTCTTAGCACCCTTTGAGGTTATGGTGCTCAACGGTTTCATGATCTTTTGGGGATTCCTTGCAGTTCTATAGGTGGCGAATACGATTGGTCCAAGTATCCAGATAGTAGGGCATCAGATCCCAAATGCTATCCACTGAGTTGTTTTTGGTACTTAGAACACAATTTAGGGTTTAGGGTCCCCAAACAAGTGGGGCTTACCATGAAAGGATGATCAACGGTGACCTTATTTGGGGTAAGGGTTTACGGTCGCTCATGGCTTAGGGCTGCTCCCAAATGCTTTATCCCGGCCGGTTCTCATAAGCTGACACCCTACTTTTGGGCATCTGGACCTTTGGGTAAATGTAGGCGTGAAATCGCCGTTTGGGTTTAAGGTTTATGGTCTCGCGATCTGGTGACTTCGTGCTTAATAATGAGGGTTTTCGAACTGTTGGTTTGGATGTAGGCTTTCCCTAATAAGGGCCACATGACCCATACAAATAAGGGCCCTATACCCTTGTACTTTGAACCCTTTATATGTGTTATGAACCTGAAACCCTAAACCCCAAACCCTAAAACCCTAAAACCCTAAACCCTAAACCCTAAACCCTAAACCCTAAACCCTAAACCCTAAACCCTTAACCTAAACTCTAAGCCCTTTTAGACTTCATTCCGTCTCTCAGTTTGGGGCTAAGGGGTCTTTGAGCTTTGGAAAATTCCGGGTCCTAGGACTTGAGATGGAATTCTTCTGGGAGTTCCAGGTACCGGAACCCCAAGGACGAAATGAATCGTTTAGGGTTTAGGGTTGTTTAGGGTTTAGGGTTCAGGGTTTAGGGTTTAAATGTTCATATCTCATGGGATTCATAGCATAAGGGTACGGGGCCCTTACGTTTCAGGGTCATTTGGTCTCCAGGGAATAGTCGATTATCTTAGACTTGTACTCTACTCACATCAGTGATAATCATCACGTTCGTCCAACGATTCAAACGACGATGTGGGGTTGAAATCGTGATAAGAAGGCAGGCACGCAAGAATCCCTTTCAGGACGGAACCCTAAACCCTAAACCCCTAAACCCCAAACCCTAAAGCCACAGCCCCCAAACCTTAAACCCTAAACCCCAAAACCCTACACCCCAAAACCCTAAACCCCCAAACCCTAAAGCCCTAAACCCTACAGCAAGGTCGCGAAGCCCCACCCCGAAAGAGCAAACACTGGGCACTTCCCATCTTCGACCGACTGCTGCACAAGCAGATTAACTAAGGACCCTACTACTTGGGTACTCAGAGAACCCAATACCCCTTAATTCAGGAATATACCTTAAATTAGGGGACCTTAATATTATGGTTTAAGGTATATTCCTTAGTTAAGGCTAAGGTATCGGCATTGGGTTCCCTGGGTACTTGGACCCTTTGGGAAAGCATTTATCTGACTATCAGGGCGTTGTGCGCTTCAGCAGTCGCACAAGTAACTCGCAACTTTGCGGGGCTGGGTATCGGACAGCTACACCTAAAGTGATTTAGAACACCTTCACTGAGATTGCGCCAAGACCTGCCAGTATCCCTTGCTTCAGGAGTATAACTTAAACTATCTCCAAAACAAAGTCTTTCAGTACCCAGAGGCTCCTGGACCCTAGTGGTGAGATCCCAAACCCTGGCCCCCAAAGCCGAAACCCTCCCCCAGAAAGCCCAAGACCCTCTTAGGAGCCGTAGGGCAGATTCAAGGATTTCGAAAAGTCTGGGCGCGATTTGTTGCAGGACGCCTTTCGGGAATCCTAAGGGTCCAAGTACCTAATAATCATATACTCTCCCAAATGTTAACCTAGAAAACTACTATCCGCAACCAAAGTACCTTATTATTGGGTCCTTTGGACCCTTAGTGAAAGTCTTTCAGTAGATTCAAGGGTTTCGAAAAGTCTGGGAGCGATTTGTTGCAGGAACCCTAAACCCTAAACCCTAAACCCTAAACCCTAAACCCTAACCCTAAACCCTAAACCCTAAACCCTAAACCCTAAACCGTCGGGAATCTAGCCCTGAGCCCGTCAAAGGCCGGAGCGATTGTTGTCGATTCGGATGAGCCGTGCGTTGCAGAGCTTGGTGGCAGCCTGGCTTCACTCCCAAGCCCTGAGGGTCCATGTGATAAAATAGGATATACATTGGCCCCCGAGGTACCTAAATAGGGACTACTTTAAGGCCAAAATATATCTATTTGAGTACATGGATCCTTCGGGAAATCAAGGGTACTATTCGGATTTAAGGTTTAGGATTTAGGAGGGATACTAAACCTTAAACCCTAAACCAGGAAGCAACCGTAAACCCAGAAGGTGACTCATAACCCTGGCCTGCTATTATTAAATTCCTGGTTTAGGGTTTAGGGTTTAGGGCTTAGGGTTTAGGGTTTAGGGTTTTACGTAGATTTTGGACTTGCTCTGAGCGCTTGCATCCATTTTCTGAAGAAACTATGCCTGCAGTTGAAACAGTAGGCTATGAAGGCTTTTTCAAGCTCTGATGGAGGCTTGGGCCTATAGGGACCAGTCTGATAATCCGCAATGACACAGGGAATCATGCAACAGCGGTCTACAATATGGAAGTCTCAGTCTAGAGCATCCCTCTGTCGGGACGTGACATGCCACTAGACTTTAGAAGACTAAATCTTGAGGCTCCGCTGTTCAGGATATGCATGTTTCGGCAATGTAGGCCGATATCTCGATATGCATCAACAACCCACAGTTGCAAGGAGAGGAGTGCGTCTTAACCCTATAGACCCTAAACCTAAGCCCTAAACTCAACCAACACCTTCAACGGAAGGATCAGGCACCTCATGGACAAACTCACGGCGCTTCTTCTCAAGCGTCGGATCCGTCTCAAAGTCCTCGCGAAGAGACGGAATCCGAAAAACTTTGTTTGTCTTGGGGTTAGGTTGAGTGAATCCTATAACCCTAGTTCCTAAACCTTTACTGGGATTGGGCTTCGGGAGACTATATTGTCGGGGCCTTAGAAGCTAGAAGAAGGTGTGGGTGTAAAACAACATTTTAAAAGCAACTACAACCCACAGTAGCTAGGCACCTGCGAAAGGGATACTATAGTAGCAACTTTGAGCGGCTACACCCAGTATGGCTTTCAATTTCCACCGGCCCTGTCAGGTGTTGCAACAAAAGAGGCCAAGGGCCGCAAAAAGCATAAGCCGGCAGTCGAAACGATCTAAAATTGAAACCCTAAACCCTAAACCAAAGTTTAATATAATATTTAATATAGGGTTCAGGGTTTAGGAAATTTTCGGTTTAGGGTTTGGGCTTCAGGGTTTCAGGTTTTCGGTGTTAAGCTTTAGGGCTTCAGCTTCGGGATGAAGTTTCATATGGAAATGTAACATGAAAGGCCGGAATGTTTATTTTTGTTCTGTCTAAAGTAGGATTTAGGGTTTAGGGTTTAGGGTATGGAAATGCAACATGAAAGGCCCGAATGTTTATTTTTAGAGTCGTAGAGGCATTGATTTCGAGAGCATGCGGCTATATAATGTTGCACTTACCATGCTCAATCCGTACGAACGACTGAGTACAGGTACTTACGACCCTTTGCTTCTGTGGTCCTGCTGAGTGATGCCGAACTTCTGCGGCGTGCGGAAGAAGCGCACGAAAAGATAGGAATAGCCTGGGTGTCTCGTGCGGGTGGCTCGTGCTGTACCTTACTGAGGTTGCCTTTTAAGGTTCTAAAAGACATGTGAAGATTTCTGGTTTTGGGTTTCTTGGCGTGTGGGTTTAGGCATGTAGGATCTGGGGGGTCGTTAAGGCCTGCAAGTACGGGTCTGCCTTCATGGTTTAATGCTGCTTCCCAAGTGCTAGCCCATGGGCTCCTCTTCGGGTTTCGGGTTTAGGATTGAGGGTTAGAGTTTGGGGTTTAGGATTGAGGATTCGAGCTTAGGGTATGGGATTGAGGGCGTTAGAGTTTAGGGTTGAGGGTCAGGATCGAGGGTTGGAGTTTAGGGCTTAGAGTTACGAGCTTCAGGTGTGGGGTTCAGGATTCGAGCTGACCAGGGCCTCGGTAGCTCAAGTACAAGTACATAAATACCGTTGATGATACAAATCCTGCATTACCTTAAGGACCCTAAACTATCGGAATTATGGTATATGCGTTATTATGGGTAATGCAGGATTTCTATCATCAACCGTCTGGGGACGCCCACCGTCCAATCCCGAACAAAAACCGCCCACGCACCGAGGTAGCGTACGATCTATCTGAAGGATTTCGGAGTGCCGGCCCAGGCTTTATTGATCAGGGTTTTGGCTCTAAACGAGGCTCTGATATGTATGTATGCATGTATGTATATATACATATATATATATATATACATACATATGTATGTATGAATACCTAAATGTAAACACCCACAGTATACACATGTCGAGCCCGATTATGGAGTGTCCTTTGCGCTCACTGGCCCATGGATCCTAGAGGGTTTGGGGATAGTGCGGGGTCGGTGGTCGAGGATCACTAAAAAGGAATCATGCGGATCATAGTAGGAATACAATGACGATTCCATCCAGTATATTACGCAACACTTCAAACTCGGTCTTGCTGCTTCAGCTAGTTCCCTAAACCCTAAACCCAAAGCCCTAAACCCAACATCATCGAAAACATAACACAACAATTATGGACAGCACCAGCTGCAAGAGCAAGCTGCCACTAATCACCAAACAGTAGCGATAGCAACAATAGCGAGAATGAATATGAGAGTCAAGGTGATGATGCATGTAAAACAAGCATGAACTCGAGAGTGGTGGCATGCTGCCACCTGTGTATTGATAAGACCGTCGCCAACACCACCGCTGCCACCACCACAACAAACAAACAACAGCGGCAACAACAACACCATGACGATGATGATGATGATGCTCAAAGTAATGGTGATACAACACTGTGAACGGTGCTGTAGATGATGCAGCTGGTGCTGCTGATGACGATATTATTGATGATGACGATGATGACGATGATGATGATGATGATGTTGATGATGATCATGATGATGATGGTGGTGATGATGATGGTGATGGTGACGGTGATGGTGACTCTGGTGACTATGGTGATGATAACGAGCGATAATCATGACAACCGTGATGATGGCAAGAGCACTGGGGAGACGACGCAGCCAGTCGGCAGCATCCTTCTCAGACGAGACGTTGCCCATGGCCTCGCAGATTTAGTGTTGATGTAGACCCTTGATCGAGAAATCCTTGTCTTTAGTCGGGCCTTCATATTAGGATCCTTAAGGAAGGGCCTCATCGCTACATGAGCATCAAGACGAATCGAGCTGTCAAAATCCTCGAAGCAAAAAGTCCTTCAACAGGAGTCCCTGAACCATAGCCACAAAGCCTAATCAGTTGAAGCCGCAACCCGAAAGCCTGAAGCCTAACCCTAAGCCCTAGGACTAAACCCTAAACCAGGACTTGAAAGGACGGTGGTGTGTCCTGGTATCTATGAAGTGTGGGCCTATACCACTAAACCCTGATCGCCTAAACCCTAAAAGCCAAAACGGAACACCAGAACTTGGCCCCGGACGATCTCGGCATTGAGCGCATTCGCCATATTCTCCAAGAACTTGGACTCAATCGGCATCTGGTGCCTTAGGAGGGTTTAGGGTTTAGGGTCGTTGGGATAATCGATTGTAACCTTATGATCCCAACTCTTATCATGATCGGGGTGCAGGGCTTAGGTCGGATTTGGGTAGTTCTCGTCCTTTTTTAGGGTCCTGTCTACACTATTTGGGGGACCCTCAAAAAGGGACCCCAATTCAGAGAACTACCCATTTAGAGTTTAGGAGTTGGGGCCATTTAGGGTGGACCTTAAGGCTACTGGACCCTCGTCGCGTCATCGAATCCCAAAACTTAGCCCCCAAAGCCCAA